GAAATGTGGGAGAGAGCTAATACATGCAGAGAAGAAGCGGCAAGTGCGGAAGCGGCAAGCACCGATGGGTTGTACTCCATCGACATCGAATGCATGGTGCTGTAGCACACGCGGTCGCGAGTGCCTGAGTCAGGCAGGCCTAGTGAACCATCAGCGAGGACACTCGGGACCACTACCGACGCGACGACGGGTCCTGTAGAGAACGTAGGCAGAACCGGCGCAGCGTTTGTAGGTACGCTGCATTCGATTTACTAACAGCGTGCTTGCGTGCTAAGTTTATTTATTTCAGGTGATGGGTTTTCAATTTTGTCCTGATACTTTTCTTTCCCATATAAATGCCTAGTTATACTCTCTTCTATACACTTGCACACGTCGCTTAAGCCACTTGTAGTTATTTCGATAACATTCTCGTGTTTGTAGCAGTTCCGTAAAACAAACTTCCTGACCTCGTGAACTTACCTCGTATTCGCTGGTAAACAACTTATTTCATATGCTCACTAATTCAAGAGTTATGTCATCGTTTCTTAATGCATTACTCGGTTTATTTTCGTTGTTATCTTTCTCTCAAGTGATTGTGGCTTGCCACAGTGACAGGCAAATCCGAAACCGGATGCCGCCAACCATGTATGTATGTGTGCCCCATGCTGAGGCTGATGTTGCATTCTTGATGCTTCTTCACCGCAGTTGGGCTAAACCAACTTACACTTAAACTAGGTCTTTTTAAGCTGGCTAAATTTCATTCCGCTTTATTTGGTTTATTCTGCCTCCCTGAATAATGTTCTATTAACTGGCCACGTTGCTTACACTAATTGCGCTTATTTTCGGTAATTTTGTTGCGTTTGTAGCATTTTAAGTAACTTGTGGACATTTCTTACTTATCACGGATTTGTTGCTAACCAACTTACTTCATATGGTAATTTAGCGAAGAGTTATGCCACCGTATCTGTATGCATTATTGGATTTATTTAATTTCAGCTTGTCGTTTAAAGTGAATGGCTGTTGTTTGATATCCCTGGTATGGTTGCGCTTGATGTGTATGTTGACAAGGTGCCTACCTGTCTATTACCCACTACATCGTTCATACTGGCTCCAGGAGACAGTTGGTCGTTGCTGGAGGGGACGGGGTGCACGGTTCTTGTGGCCGTGCTAGGCTCAAAGAGCGGTTCCATGCACTCAGTGTGGAGCGGACTACGGTCCAGCCACCGCCTTGTGTGTGGTTGATTCCCCAAATACAGCGTGCTTGTGTTTGCCTGTGAAGGAGTGTGGGCCGGCTCCGTTGATGAAACGTGGTTCCCATCCGCATGCCTCCCGGTCTTATTCCTTCGGGTTTACACTGGATATGGGGTATGTGGTTGGAGCTGTGGGTGGTGCAGCGCAAGCCATCCATGGTCCCTCTGTAGGCGCAGGCGTCCTGTGGCTTGCCACAATGACAGGCAAATCCGAAACCGGATGCCGCCAACCATATATATACATATATACATATATATATATATATATATATATATATATATATATATATATATATAAAGTCGATTGCTTGCTTACTCGTTAGTGGTTGCAGACTAAAATGCTGGTAACCATTCAGAGCTCTCTCTAGGACGTCTTCGATCGCAAAATGAAGAGCAGCGGGACATAGGGCAACCTTGTCGTACCACGCAAGTGACACCGAATGACGAAGAAAGTTTGCCACAGACCCTTACTCTGCCGGAGACGTGGAGATAGAGTGCGCGCATAATTGTTGTGTATTATTCTGGGACCCCGTTGCTTAGCAAGCAACGCCAAAGCGCAGGTCGACAAAAGAGTCGAATACGGCACAGATGTCTAAGAATGCAACGATGGTAGGACTGCGGTAGAGGTGGCGGTGTTCGAGGATTTGGCGGAGCATGAATATTTGATCCACACACCCACAGTCAGGACGGAAGCTAGCTTGTTCTTCAAGGTACTGTGATTCACGAATCGGAGATAGTCTAGGTAATAGAATGGATGCGAATAAATTTGTAGCAACCGAAATGAGACTGATACCCCGCTGATTAGCGCATTAAGTGCAGACACTTCTTAAAAATTGGGACAATAATTGACTCGCTCCAAGAAGGCGGTGCCATTTCTTCGTGCTAGATTTTGGAGAATATGTGATTAGCAGACTGGTGATAACTGCACCACCATATATGAACAGCTCCGGAAGAAGATCGCCTGAGCGTGCGAGTCGCACGACAAACTCGCTGGGTGGGCAGTCCGGTTCGCAGGTTATACACCTGGGCGGTGAGGGCCAACTGAACTGAACGACCCATCGATCCAAGCGTCTCTGTAGCTTAGTAATCGGCGAACTGTCAGCTTCGCAAATAGTCTTACAGACACAGGGCTTTCTGTGTCCAGTGGGACGAATGAGCTGGAAGAGTTTCCGAGTATTGCTAGACAAGGCAGCGGCCTTCATTTCCGAAACACGCTGAGAACACCAGGTTTCGCGGTCACTGCGTAGGCTTTGTTTAAGCTGCCGACTGACAGAACGGCGCACTTTATTTTGATTGGATTCCGCTGAGATATTTCTGCGGCAGTCAAATAGATCCAGAGAGCGCGTGGAAATCCAGGTCTTCATAGGGTGCTAAGACCACAGACTGTCCTGAAGCAGTCATGGTCATTGGCATGAACGTCCAGCGTTCATTAATGTTTTGTGGAGGGTCACGGCTGAGTGCGACGGCCAGGGAAGCTTGATAGGTCTGCAGTATTTATCCTATACTGCTTCTTTTTCAGGGACCTTTCGAAACTCATGCAGATATTTGCACAAACAAGAGTATGGTCTGAGTTGAGAAATGTGGAATAGAGGATCTGCAATCCTTTACACTAGCCTGCCATCTGTAAGTAATTGTTATGTGGTCAATATGAGATCATGACTGAGTCGGAGATGGTGGGCGCCAACTAGCGGAACGTCTCGAATGCCTCAATCTGATGCACGAGAGAAAAAAACGGCTACCTTCACACAGTGTGAGAACATTTTCCACTATCTGAACGGCTCTCATTGAGCGCATCGTGACCACCGAGGTGACTTTCATATGCCGTGACGCAACCGACCCGTGCACTGAGATCACCAGCAAAGACAACAAGATCGGATTTGTAAGCTCTGTTCGAGGGCTGGTGAAGTTCACGGTAGAAATCGTCCTTGACCGGGTCACAGTTGCAGTCACTCGAAGCGTATGCTGAGATCGCAAAGAAGTTGCGTCTCTTCTCACGATGTCTGTTGATCCTGCACGATCCCCGAAGCAGAACTACAAATAACCGGCTGTTAATTGGTAACCAGTCCGGCCTCGGCGTCCCTACTTTGTGCTACACCAACGCCAGCCAAGCCTGCCGCGGCTGCTTCTGTCACCAGATAGACGTAGATGAAACATGACTGTTGTCAGTGGGAAATCTCAACTCAATCACGGTGCAGCGATCCTGCAATCGGATCTCGGAAAAACAGCAAACATCGATGACGGGGGATTCCAAGGTGAGCGCGAGACCAGCCTGTTGCCCGATCTGCATGAGTGAACTTACATTAAAGCATGCCAGATGGAACGAAGATCGAGGCCGAAGTCCTCTTCGGCGGCCTCTGTGGTTGTTGACGAAACCATCGGGTATAGAATCAAGGAGACAGAAATCAGCTGACAAGGGGTAAAAATGATTGGTAACGAATGGACAGGTGGCATGTGAAGATGTGTGAGCAGCAGAAGCAAGGGTAGTTAAGTGGGGCATATCAGAAGAACGGTTCATGGTTTTGTCAGTGGGCGTGCTACTACCCAGTTGCCCAAGCCAAAGTAGAGTTGTCTTAGGGAACACAACCCCAGGCCATAAGCAAAATATCTTACCAGAAAGGTAATGGGGAGAATTCAGGAAATCGCGCCCATTGAGAGCCGGTGACCGATTATACAGTTCATACGTTTTACGCTTGGGCGGTTACTAGACAGGGGTCCAATCCTTCCCATGACGTCAGCACATACTTGCTGGAGTACAATGCTCCACCCAGGAGAGCTAAGAGGTAATGATTTTATTTCGTAACAAGTCACATCCGCCAAGCCACAGTGTTGTTAAACGGACATATGTGACTTTTTACGTAGAGAACTCTTTCCAGTCTAAAACCCGCCACGTCCTCGAAAACTGCCGCCGAAATATTTGCTAGAACGCAGTAAAACCGAACCACCTACTGGCAGCAAGAGGTAGTTCGGCAAGCGTACCATATTAATACAAAAATATGGTTGGCGGCATCCGGGTCCGGATTTGCCTGTCACTGTGATCTCCACAGTGACAGTCAAAGGTCTGCGCCTACAGAGGGATCATGAGTGGTTTGCGCTACAACATCCACAGCTCCATCCACACACCCCATAACTAGTGTAAACCTGAAGGAATGAGACCGAGTAGTATGTGGATGGGAGCCATGTTTCATCAACAGAGCCGGCCCACACTTCTTCACAGGCAAACACAAACACGCTGTATTTGGGAAATCAAGTGCACACAAAGCGGTGGCTGGACTGTAGTCCACTCCACACCGGATGGAACCACTCATTGGGCCAAGCAAGACCACGAGGACCGTGCACCTCGTCCCCTTCAGCAACTACTAACTGCCTCCTGGAGCCAGTATAGATGAGGTGGTGGGTAATAGGAAGGTAGCCACTTTATCAACATGCACATCAAGCGCAGCCACATCGGGGATGTCAAGCCAACAGCCAATGCAATAAAACATACGGATGTGCCGACTTAATACTTCACTACATTAGCAGATGTAAGAAATGAGTTATCAAGATATCCGTGATAAATTTGGTGCTAGAAAAAGAGATCCAAAACATATGTAAATGCGAAAAAAATTAACGAAAGTAACAACATTTCGTTTAAGCGACGTGTGGAAGTAAATAGAATATTACTCATATAGACATTAAAAGGAGGTAACAAAGCAATTATTGACAAAATACAGCAAACCGATCATCTAAAATAAACGCAGCACGCGGTGAGTAAATCGAATGCAGCATACTTACCAACGCCGCGCTGGCTCTGCTTACGTTCTCAGCATGACCCGTGGTCTTTTTTATGCTGGCACCGAGTGGCTTCGCCCGTCGCTCACTACGCCTGACTGACAAAGACACTCGCGACCGTGCTCGAAGCCGATGGAGTACAGCCCATCGGCGCCTGTCGCTTCCGCATCTGCCGCTTCTTCTCCGCATGCACAAAGGCTTTCTCCTGCACCTCGGAAACGGCCTTCGTGATCAGATCGCGCCATGCACTCCGATCAATCGCCTTCGATTCCCAACACCTGTAATCAACATTAGAACGTGGTAGGCTCACCTTTATCATGTCCTGGCAATGAAGCATCGGTTTCCCCACATGCCTCTTCCCCACATTCAGCAGACCATATAAGAGCTGCTTCGGTATCCGTGCCGAATCCATAAGATACACATGACCGGGCCACCTCAAGGCATACAGTCCACCGCAAACACACCATTTCGGCACATCTCCGTGTCTGCAACTCTGTCGCACCAACCGGTGCGCAGAATCCGCCGCAGACACTATTGATGAAGCCACTCGAGATATCTCACATCTCGCAGGTACACTGTCCACGTTTCGCTGCCGTAAAGAAGAACGGACAGCACTATGGATTTGTACACCCTCAGCTTCGTGCCAACGGTAAGCTGGTGGTTGTTCCACACTCGGTACTTTCCGAATGCCGCTGCTGCCTTTGATACGCGGACACGAAGCTCACCGTATTTTCTGGAATGTCCAAACCACACTCTCAAGGTAGCAGAAGCGGGAGGTGGTTACCGATACTGATCTGCGGCAGTATTGCAGATTGCACCTCCGGTGAAGGCTGAAAGAGACAGACAGATTTGCTTGTGCTTATGGTGAGCCCGAAATTGGTCGCTGTCGAAGGCAGAGCATTAGTCATGTGCTGCAACTCATCCGCGCTGTGCGCAAACAACGCAGTCGTCAGCGAACAGCAACATACGGATAGCTGTCTCACAGACCAGGGTTCTCGAACCGAAACGACGGATGTTCAGCAACCCACCATCAAGACGGTGCTTTACGCGAACATTGTAAACATAAGCCGTATCAAACACACACATCATTGTATGAAGATAAATATCAAACAGGGCAGGAGCTAAGACACAGTCTTGCTTCACACCAGAGACAACTGCAAAGTCATCCGATGACTCGACACTAAGCTGCACCATCGCTCGCATACCACTGTGCAGACATTCAACTAAAATTACAAACTTAGTCGGACAACCCAACGTACTCAACACCAACCACAATGCCTCGACGTTCATCGTATCAAATGCTTTGGTGAACTCAACAAAAAGCGAGTACAACGGCTGGCATTGTTCGCTGCGCTTCTCCTGCAACTGATGAGCCACAAACACCATATCGATGGTGCTGTGACCCGAACGGAATACACATTGCCCTTCCGCCAAGTTTGGTTCTGCAACTTGACTGACGAGACGGTTGAGTAGGATTCGGGCAACCACCTTGCCCACACAACTCAGCAAGTTAATGCCACGATAATTCGTGCAACATTTCTTGCTCCCTTTGCCTTTGTATAGTGGTAGCATAAGGGCATATATATATATATATATATATATATATATATATATATATATATATATATATATATAGTGCAAAGCGCCCCTCGATGGCTCCTTGATCATTGCAAATGAGGAATTCGAGGTAGTTAATCACTTCACCTACCAGGGCAGCTGTATCGGCGACGATGGGTATATAACGACTGAAGTCAGTTCATGGATTGCTATGACCGAAACTGCTTTTTGAATCTGCGATATCTGTGGAGTCAGAAAGAGGTTTCTGTCTGTCTAGAAGGTTGTGTATACGAGGTCACAATGAGGGCCGTCCTACTCGACGGGAGGAAGATTTGGCCCCTCCGATCTGAGGACCTGCGACGCCTTTAAGTCTTTGAACATCCTTGTCTACGAAGCATTGCTGGTTTCGGATGGCACCAGTGTGTCCGCAACCATTATGTGTGTAAGCGAGTATTGGGCAGTGATAACCAGGTTCTCCGTATGTTAGGAGGACCTTTTAAGGAATCGGGCAGTGACACAAATCCCTGACCCAGAAATTCTCATGAATTTTCTGGGTTAGGGAAATTCGCAAGAAAATCTTGTTGGTGGATCATACGTGTGTTCCAGAACAAGTTGTTACTATTATGGGTAAGTAAAGAATGAAAGCGAAGATAAAACGTTCAGGAACGTCAACTGCATCATATAAGTGCCACTAGCATGCGCCATGTAATCATCCTGTATTTTTCTGGTGAATAAATTATTGCTTGAAGGCCAATCAGAGTGACCTGAACAATCTTGGGGACCATAACACCTTAGAACAACAGATTGCACTGAATAATGTGTTGGCTTGGACACGTACTACTTATGCCTGGCCATCGCTTAGCGAGGAGGGCTTTGTTTTCTCTGCCAGACGCAGGGTGATGCAAGGCCCGAGATGAGCAAAAATTAACTTGGCATCGATGCGTCTCGCCTTCCAGGCTGGAGTCCACGTGCTCGTCTTGTGCTTGGCTTGAGACGTCACAGGACACGGCTGGCAGTCGACACCAATGGCGTATCTGCTGCCCTCTCCTAGTCGGATTGCATTTTTAAAGACGCGCTGAGTTATCTGCGGTGTAATGGCTGATTATGACGCTGCGTAGTAATAATCGCAAAGAAGTTGTCTCGCTCATGCCGCTGTGTCTTTGCATGATAGTCAGCTGTTTGTGACGGTATGTTGTTGATAAGGTTTTGGTGCCTTGACCCTGAGTGTTTGTTTAGGGCATTACTTTACGCTAGGTCCCACTTCTTCCTCTTATTGTTCTTTGGTAGTTCACCGTGATTGTACGGGTAGTGAAACATCAGTTCAAATGGCTGATGTACTGCTGTTGATGTTGATGACTTATTGCCAAAGCCAGTCTCTTCAAAATGATGTCGAAGTGCTGATTACCCCACCTTGCACACTGTCACACGAAACTGGACGCTTCTGAGGCCAAAATCTGTTGGTGGTCTGAGTGTTCGCTGATCTCGGTAGTTTGGCTGCAAACGTTTTGTCACCACTCGAGGTGACATGCTCAGGGTGCTGTTATGTAGCCGAGTTGAAATCAGCTGAACTCAGTCCTTCGTTCTGACCGTGAATTCTGGTGGGCGAAACAAGCCAATGGAATCGAAGCCACTGCATCGGTTGTAAACTTCCGCGGTTTGTTTTACCTCATAGAGGCCACCGATTGCAATCCACACGCTACCATTCAGACGGCATGAAAATCACCAACCTTTTCAGGTCGCTGGACATAGCAATTTGCTTTCCACTTCCACTACCCTGCACAGTCCACTGTGACACCTCCCTTTCCTTCGTATGGTGCCCAGTCCGTCCTCACAGACCCCACTGCCGAAGCAAAGATCCGGAGCACAATTCAATCTTTGTAGCGTCATAAAGATGGCGGAACTTCACTTGTCGATGAAATCCTATCGCTGTTCACTAAAGTTTGGATTGCCGAAAAAGTTCCAACCGCGTGGGGAGGGGGCATCAGCAGTACGCCGGTACAAAGTACCGACACTTCGTTGCTGCGCAACCACCACCAACCGCACGTGGATTAAGGATACTGTGAGGGTCGTCTAGTCCCTACACAGGCTCGTACCCACGCCCTCGGATTACAGGACAGGCTTCTGATCCTTAAGACTACGGACTGGTCGTTGTCCCGACTCACAAGTAAGGCTCTCGCGAAGATTGCGTCAATTATCGCGGAATTTCGTTGATCACTGTTGCGTCCAAGATTTTCCTGCCCGTCCTACTCCCCAGACTTTTAGTGACAGGAAAGAGCGTTTCCCAAAGGAACAAGCCGGTTTTCGTCTAGGCCGAGTTTGCATCAACCAAATCTTCACGCTCCGCCAGCTTCTCGAACTCCGTCACATCCACCGATAGCTAACAATCGTAGTGTTCTTGGACAACCGAGCAGCATTTGATTAAGTAGATAGGTCTGCATTGTGGAACTGACCACTAAGAAAGGGTGTGCCCGACAAGTTTGTATTCACTGAAAATCAGGACTTGCGACAGACTTTCCTCTTCGCTTGCTGTCACCAGCGGCGTTCGCGAAGGTTGCCCTGTTTCACCTTTAATTTTATCAGTGAAGATGTCGTCCAACGAGCATTGCAAGGTGTCAAAACTGCGGGCTCGATCTTCTCCCAGGTGACAGAGTCGCGGGCTTAGATTACGCTGATGATATCACTTTACTTTTGGAGGATCCGCAAGTCGTCTAGAGCGCTATGAACCGCTTAGCGATGGAGACGTCTAAGTGTGGCCTGTATTTCACCCCCAGACACATGCAAAATACTACTCCAGGGCTGGCAGATCCTTGTGTCTGCCCTCACCATTCCTGACAACGCTCTGAAACAAGTCCCCTGCTTCAATTATCTAGCGAACGGCATCACGGCTGGCGGCGGTGTTAGAGTGGAAGTCTCACAAGGTATCACAAAAACCCCCATTGCATTCATCCGACTGACACCTGTTGCATCGTCGATGTCAGTCTCAAGCTGAAGGACAGGGTGTAATAATAATGATAATAATGTGTCAGCTGCACGCCGTAGCGGCGCTTCCCTGCCGCGCGACAGGGTGTACACTGCCTCTGTCCGTGCGACCCTCTTGTACGGCTGTGAGACCTGGACTATTCGCTGGAAAGACATAAAGCTATTGTCAGTTTTTGACAATCGTCTTTGTAGGGTTGGTCGTGTGTGGTGGCGACATCACGTAAGCAACACAGAAATCCGAGACAGAGTGCTTTGAGCAAACTGCACGTCTCCAAACTGTTATTCTCCGACACCGCATGCGTTGGCTCGGCCACGTATTGCGTAAGTCAGTCTATCGCCTTCCTCTTCGAATGTTATTTGCGCTCCACTGAATTTTCCTTCAAACAATTTCTTGATGCTCTGGCCACCGCAGAGGATAATAAACGGTGCCCTATCTGCTGCATCGAGCAGGGTGGATAGGGGTTTGGATGCTACTGCTCAAGCCTTCCCGTCTTCTTATTCCCCCTCTTACGCTTTTTCACTCTTACCGTCCCATTCCAACTTCACTTATATCCCCCCAGTTTTCAACCCCCGATTCTTGGCCCTCCCCCAACATGCTTTGCTAGGCATTTACTTTCTAATTTCAACTCACACGTGAACGCGGAGCGTCACTCCTCTCCTGTCGACAAGCCCATGTCCAACCAAGCGGTCCAATCCAGTTCATCGGCTTCCATTTGGAGCCCTCGATCCTCCTTCAGATTGGCATGCCTCAATGTACGCACACTGCTACAAATCGGTCAACAGGCAGCACTTTCCCGAACATTGGAGACCTTCTCGATCGATATCTGCTGCTTATCAGAGACTCACCTGCAAGACTCGAGCACTGTGCTCACTCTGCGATCCCCTTCAGGGGACGCAAGCAGTATTTTCTCCTTGCGCCTATCCGGTGACGATGCAGCTTCGAGCACCGGCCAAGCCGGTGTTGGTATTGCCCTGAGTCCCCAGGCTGAAGCTGCTCTGGTTGATTGGATTCCAATCAGTAGCCGGATGTGTGCGGTCCGATTGGCTGGCTCGTTTAAAGCTTCGAAGTCGCGCGGGACTAATAGATGTCTACTCATCATCGCTGCCTATGCGTCCACAAACTGTAGCGATGATTCGGTAAAGAACGACTTCTACCGCCAACTGACCCAGCTCCTTCGCCACAGAAGAAGCACGGACACTGTTGTGCTGGCGGGGGATATGAAAGCACAAGTTGGAAAGTTGTCCACTGATGAACTGCATCTGGGCGGTCAACACGGTGTAGGCTCCCGTAATGATAACGGTGAGCGGTTACTTCATTTGTGTGAAGATGCTCGCTTATTTCTTGCGAGCACTAATTTCCGACACAGCACCCGCCGAAGGGTGACTTGGCGCCCACCAACCTCGAACCAGCCTTGCACGCAGATCGATCACATTGCGATAAGTTACCGCTGGAGAGGTTGCATCCAGAATTGTCGCTCGATTTGGAGCACATGGGTGGACACCGATCATGCACTTGTATGTGCTGACATGCGGATGCGTTTTGGCGGACGCCCACGACGACGCTGTGAGCGTATTGACACCAGCCAACTAACAAAACCAGCTGTTCTGAATGCGTATCGAAGTACGCTAACATGCGAGTTGAGCAAGCGCTCACAGGAGACAATTGATGATCACTGGTCACATGTTAACCAGACCTTACTAGCAGCAGGCAAATCCTCATGCGGTATGTCTAATAGACAACATGGACATTGGGTCTCTTCGCAGTCTCTGGAACTTATAGATGCTCGCCGGCCAATCCCGGCTGGAAGCGAGCACAATGAAACTCGCAAAGAGCTCCGCGCAAAACTCCGTGCAAGCCTGAAGAGAGACCGCGAATCTTGGTGGTCTCATCGTGCGTCAGAGATGGAAGTGGCCGCTGCCCTTGGCAACCATCGTAAGTTATTCCGTCTGATACGGGAAACGGGCAGCAGGAGACCTGGTGTTAGTGAAACTATA